ATTTAATAAACAAATAAAAATTTTTAACACTAACACAAACCATTTAATAAACAAATAATATATCAACTTATTTAACCCATTTAAAAATAACCAAATAAATAATTATTTTAACAATTAACAATTTTTTACACTATATTTTTTGCTTCCAATTGTATTTTTCTCAATTGGAGGAGTTCTAGCCAACAACCAACAATCCCATTACCTATTTTATAGGCAACTAAAGCCCCCTCTCTCTCCATTCCCCTGTCGATGTGGGATTCAAAGAACTCGAAGATCAATTTTTATCATCCGGAGATCAAGACTAGCCAAAGTGCTCTCCACCAAATGGGGTCGTGCACGAACATCATATATGATTGGTCTTTCAAACCATGGGATCATTAGGTGCATTCCTTCAGGATAATCCTTATCTTTGACGCCAATAATACGGTTGAAGACAATAACTCAATTTCCTCCCTCAACATTGTAGAGACTGTTAGCAGCTTCGTATATGCGAAGCCCAGCAATTGCTCCAAACTTGATCAAAGCAGAAGCCGCACCACCACCCGGAACATTTGGAATCTTCACGTTCTTGAAATTCATTTTCCCCGATTACTGATCTGATGGAAGCCGATCACCAGCAAGACGAAGTCATGTGGGATTTAAAGAAAAGGCAATTCAATGCCTCAAAGCTTTTGTTTTCTTTTTTTTTTGAATTGATTTCCTTACTTTTTTTTTTGTTTTTTTGAAATGTTTTCTTTACTTATTCATTATACAAAATAATTATTAATTTATTATTATATTAAATTTATTTAAATGAGTGATAAATGAGTTGACAAGTTTCATCCGAACACAACTCATTTATTAAACGTGTCCGACTGGTCAACCCGTTTATCACCCAAACTCGTTAAGGTATCATCCAAACTCGCTTAATTCATGTTAGTTAATCGTGTCGAATTTTAACAAGCCTAATCTCGACTAATCATTTTCAGATTCGGTCAAAAACAAACCATTCACATTAAGACTAAGAAATTTATGTGGAATAAATCACCCGTAACCTAATTTCAAAGTATTGCAACCGAATAATTCTATTCACCTTGGTCATTTGCAGTCTTTTGTGTGTGCGTGTGTGTGTGGGTGTGTGTGTGAGAGAGAGAGAGGGGCATACACTGCAGCAACCACGTCTCAAGCAAACTCCCAAAGGAGGGACCAATATCGCAAGCAGGATTTCCAGGAAAACTTCACATCTAGATTCCATCTTCAACTGCTACAACAGCAGAGAGAGAGAGAGAGAGATTTGAGCTGCAGAACTTGAGGTCTTAATGATTAAGAATTACTGAGAAAGATCTGATCTTTAACTAGGTTCGGATTTGACCAAGTTACTTGCAACATGAATCATTAAATCAAATAACCGTTTTGGTCCTTTTGGAGCTATGGCTTTGGCTGGTAGAGTGATTACGAACAGTCAACTAACTACTAGAATCTTGGCGAATCAGTCTCAATTCAAAGACTCCAAGTGCATCAGAACCTTCCAACTACAGGGGAGCCACCTCAGCTTTCTTGAGTTTTGTGATCCCAAATGGACTTGAGACACCTTAATTAGGTGCACCAGCCAAATATAAATAGGAGGCAATGAATCCAATCCAACTTAGTCGAGCATTTAAGTTATTTCTATTTAATTTCGACACAGTTCGTTTATTTGCAAAAAGAGTCTGTATTTCAACTTGAGATTGTGACAAGTTTATCACCGAGTGATTGGTTAAAGAAGTAATAATTTGTATTTTTTTGTTTAATGTTTAAACACAAAATTAAAGTAAAACCCTTCGTGTAGCCGGGGTGGCTTTTTAATCCTCGGGCCACAGCTTTTGTCCACATCACATCACTGTTTTTTTTTTTTTTTTCAGTGGCGCCATGAATTTTTGTTGGTTCGCTAAATACCCTTTTTTACACGTCCGCTGTCCTCACCGCACCAGTACCACCAGTCCCAATATGGAGTCTGAAATATAAGCAGGTGGCGGAGCCAAGCCTTATAGGCCAAGGTGGTCCAGCCACCCTTTTAAGTTCTTAAAATTACACATTGTACCCTAAAATAATTTTTTAATTATATTATTTATGTCTCTCAAATTTTGAACAATATATTTTATACTCATATTATAATAGTGGTTCTATTTTATCCTCAATTATCAATCTATATAATAAAGTAATTTACAATTCAAATCTTAAAAGATAAACAAAATAACTTTTGTTATTCGTGGTTGAAATTACTTTAAATTTTACTTTAAAATTAATCTAATGACTAATATTAAAACTCCAAATTTAATAGGAAAAAATGGCCTTTAATGGTGTGTTTAGAATAATTTTTTAAAAGTGTTTTTAGAAATTATTTCTCATAAGTATTTTTTTTTTTTAAAATATTGTTTTGAACTACTCCACCACTACCTTTAACACCACCACCACCACTGTCACCGCCGCCGCCGCCACCTCCACCACCTTTGCCACCGTTGTCGCCGCCCCTGCCATCACCACCACCGCCACCATCCCCACTACAGCCATCCCCCACCACCTCCACTGTCGCCACTACCACCTCCACCGTCACCACCACCGCCATCGTCGTCGCCGCCATCATCACCACCACCGTCACCTCCATCATCGTCGCCGCCACCCCCACCATTGTCGTCGCTACCCACCACCACCGCTGCCACCGCCCCTACCACCACCACTGTTACCACAATTATTACTATCTCCTACCACCACCACTACCGCTCCACTATCTCTCATCCCCATTATAAATTGATGTTTAAATTAATCGATTGATTATGCAAAAAAATTAAATTGAAATTAGTGATTGTTCAATAAATGAAACAAATGTTCTAACATCCATAAATTCAATAGAGTTTTATCATTTTTTTTTCAAAAAATGAATATACTACAATGTATCATGTGAAATTAATTTTAATATATATATATATATATATATAAATTTAAAACTAACAATAACTCATTAGTAATTCGTATTGAATAAAAATTTCAAGTTATGCAACTATTTGGCATCCATGATGAAATCTAGCCCCAACCCCAAATATAATTATGCTAATTTTTAAAAATTAATTCAAACATAATTCATCACAACATGAAAATAAAAAATAATTCTATAGATTATTATCATAAATAATAAGTGAGTCGATTTTGTATTAGATGCAAATGAATAATACGACATGAATTAAAATAATACACATCAGATAGAATACACCGTAAAATGAAACGACTTTATTATGTGTCATTGCGGGTTGCCAATCTATTGAACAACTGCTCTTTTAGTTAAAATTGGAAAATAAAAAAAAATTGATATGAAACGGCAAAATTTATTAAACATCATCAGATGGATATATTGTTATGAAAGGATTGTAAAAATGCCATTTTATTCTTAAATACATAATAATTCCTTAAGCCTCAGTGACAGTAACTTTGGCCGAAAATAAGTATCTCACTCAATTTAGATTATTCATATATAAATTATTTATAACCTTATTATTATTATTTTGAATTTGTACTTTTTGAAAGTCGTCTATAAGTAAATCAATATTATCGTAACGGGGCGTGTTCATCTAAATTTGGGTGTCATGGGACAAGATTGGGAGTTAAAAATTTTTTTTGGTTAAGTTGCAAAATGCTTAGATGAAATATTTGTGCACAAAATTTAATTTTTTTTAGCAATAATTTTGTGTCTGAAAATAATCTGTAAAACTAAAAATCAATGATGGATCATGTAATATTTATATTTTAAATAATAAATTAATATTATTTTAATTACATAATTTTAGTGAACAAACAAAAAATAAAACAGAGGTAAACGGAGAAAAGATGGGATGGAAGATAGGAGCAGAAAAATGGGATGGAAAAAAAAAAAATTTCAATTGTTTGATTTCAAAGGAAAATATGAGGGAAAGTGTTTCCACTTGCCCACCATTTTTTTTTCTCTCAAAAGTGGGAGGAAAGTGAGAAAAATTGAAAATAAGATATTTTTTGAACAATGTTACACAATTGACTTAAAAATTTAACTTGATAATATGATTATTATATTTGTTATTGATTAATCAAGTCAATTTTTAAGTCTATTTAATATTTTCCTTTTTTTTAGATAAATTAATGTTTTTGCTCTTAAATACTATACTTCCAAACATTATGTCACGATCCCAATTCAAACCTTGCACATTTTTTAAAGTAGTGCTATTGAGATTATGTATTCTATCACATATATTTTTTAAAGTAATACTATTGAGATATAATTCACTGACATAATTTATTGATTTAATTTATTGTGATATTTTGATTGACTGTAAATCTCATTAAACATTGAAATTTGGTGTTAATCTAATATTTACTATTAAACCACATCATTATATTAACAAATTATGTCAAATTTTTAAGTCTAAATAATATTACTCTATTTTTTATATATGTATATTTTTTGGCTATCATTTTTATTATACATATTAATATTATTTTTATAACTAATTAAAATGACATTAAATTTTTTTAAATCTTATAATATTTATTAATAATAAAAAAAAATATTTTATATATAAAAATCTATAATATAAAATAAAATAGATTTTAATAAATTTATCTAACCATCCTAAATAAACTAATTCAACGATGCTCATCATCGTCGACCTCAAAATCATTCAGCATACAGTCAAACACTAATTACCCATGCCTCCTGTTAAACAGAGCATTAGAAACATCCCATCCCTCTTTTTGCATATTATGAGAATCTGAGTCGAGAGAAAGTTGGTTGAAAATTGACCATAATAACGTAAGCATCTCAGTGTAGAGCGAGTGAGTCGCTGCTTGTCTGTAATCCACTACCTACGTCCTCTCCTCGCCTGTCCCCCCCACCAACAAAAACCCTGTCCTCCCCTCTGGCAGAGCCAATTCAAAACCCTAAAAATCTCTCTCTCTCTCTCTCTCTCTCTCTCTCCGTAGAGATACATATCACAGGTACTGATAAAGATTGTTCCGCAATGGAATTCAAGTATAGAGCCATCGATGAACAGGCTTCAGCACCGTATCTACCAAATCAGTCCTCAAGCTTTAGCTATTTCGCGGGACAAGCTGTTCGAGGTCCGCGCAATTCCTCAATTTTTCAACAGGAATAAAATTTGAGTTTTGCATATATGAATGCATGTATCTATAGGTCTGTAATAAATTGGACATACAAAAAAATCTTCTATTTGACTTCGTCTTTCGATCGAATTTCTTGCACTAGAATCAGAGGAGTGGATCTTAGAAAAATTATGATTTTCTGCATTTTTCCCTGCATTTCAATTGCGAGAAAGACCGAAAGATTTGAAATTGGCATACCGAGTGTATACTAGTTAACTGAAAAATAGTGAATTTTTCAGTTCAATCTCTATCATCTTTTGTTGTTTTTGTAAAATTTTGTACTGACAATCTCTTACTTCAGCTGGTTATTCAAGTACCAATTTCCGAGGAGCTCACGAGTTTTTCCCAAACCATGTCGGCGAAGTGGTTCAACGGGAGATCGAGAAGCAACGAATTCGAGAAGAAATAATCGCGACAGAAATCGTTCGAAAACGCATTCTCGAGGCCGAAGTGAGAAGAGAAATGCAAATGGAGAGAGAAATGGCTTTGAGGAGAGGAGAGAATTTTTCAGTTCGTTTGTCCTCTTCATCCTTGACAGCGGCGGCTAGGAGATTTGAGCCGAAAGTGTCGGCTTTGGATTGGTATGAAGGAAGAACGATTGAGGAGAGACTTGGATTGTCGCTTGAGGAGAGATTAGGGTATTCGGTGGCTCGGCGTGCGATTGGGGAGTTTGAGACGGTGCCATTCCAGCGGAGTGTGGCGTTGAAGATCTCCGACGAGTTACCGTTTCACCGCGGTGTGGAACCCATGAATTCTGAAACAGTGCGGCCTCGGCCAAGTGTGGAGTTATCGGAGTTGAAGCCTGTTTCCGAGGTTAGCAAAGAGAAAGAGAAAGTAATTTTCTTGGTCAGTATTCCTTCTTTCTCTGTGTGTGTGTGTATCCAACTGTTATTTTTGGTTTCTTTCTTGGTCAGAATGCTCACTGGTTAGATCTGTAGCTTTTCTTCTGGTCTGTAATAGAAATTTGTCAGTTGAACTTTAATTTATGTGGGAACATGCTATGCATACCAAAAATTTTACCAAAAAAGTGATTTTACCAAATGAGATGGTAGCTCCATATCACTCTTGCGCAGATGAAATGCTGATCAAAATATTTTGATTGGATATAGAGTTGTCAACTTATTTGACAAAAGCAGTTTTTGGTAAATGTTTAGGTAAGCATAGCATTCCTCATTTATGTGTAGGTGATTGATGAAAGGCAGATTTTATCATGAATTGAATACCTTCAGTTCAACTCTTTATTTTAAAAGCGGTTAAATTTTGTCTTTCTTTCTTTCGTGGTCTGCATCTTTTTTTTCTTTTTTTTTTTATCTGGGGTTTTCTAACTCCTGAAAGGGAAATTTCTCAGTGGATCGGTCTTTAGTCTGTTAAAAAGCAAGCATCAGATCCCTTTATGTACATCGATAATTCTTTAGTGTAATATTCTCCCCTCAGTACATTAAAGCTGTTTAAGCCTTTGCCTGGGCTGTGTCTTTGATTGAATATCTCTTTTATGTTCGTAAATCAATTTTCTTGCTGAGGCTGTTATAATCTTTTTTTTCAGCCATAAGATGTTTCTTGGGTATGGAGTAATGATGTATCTGTGCTAAAGTGTTATCATCCTCATAATTTTTCCTTTCTGATAATTGAGTTAGTTATTAGCCTTGGGATATATTATCTAAGTTGGAGTGGTTGTCTGTGCATATTTAACTGCCTGTAGTTTCTTTGATTATATTTTGTTGAGTCTATAGTTCATCGTGTCATGTTGACATCTATGTGGTGGAGTAAATATTGAATTTAGCGGTGACACCATCCAATAGGAACACAATTAAATGGGTAAAGAGAACCCCACTACTTTACATGAGGTGGTTATTTCCTTGGAGGGATAGTTATTGAATTGGGTGGGATCCACTTGCTCACTTGTTCCTATTGGATGGTGACATCACGTGATCAAGATGAAGTGATGTCACCACTACATTGAATATTTTCTCTAGGTGGTAGCACCATATATTTGAGTTAAGTCATTTTTCCTGCTAATATATGGGGATACTTGTGAAGAAAATTTTGGATGAGACTTACTGTACGTGATGCGGATTTCATGGCCTGAGGCCTAGATATGTTCAGTGATGGGATCAGAATCCCAAATGGGGTTTATTTAAGGCTTAGAGCATTGGTTGTCATACACTTCAGAGACCCTTGAGATGGTCTTCTTGCAGAGAGAATCCTTGTGCTTTGGGTTTTGCAACCCATAGTGGGGAGACTGGATGTTTAAAATTTGGAGAATAGCTAATTGCGTCAGTTTAAATCACCAAGAGGTGCTGAATTCGGGGTCCATGCGGACTTCATTTTGGGGAAAGGAAAGGTGCGTGTATGAAGGAGCCTAGATGATATATTTTTCCTGTGTCACTTTTGTCTTATTGTTGTAGCTCTTCATAAAAATAACATCCAGTCTAGACCCCAGATAAGTTTTGATAAGAAATTCTACTGCACCAATTTCTCTAGTGGGGTTTAAACTTTGCAACTTCCTTTTTGTGGTATTCTTGAGGTGCCATTCAAGCTAATAGCTAGTGGAATATTTTATAGTTTCTAAGTACCTGATGTGTGAAAGTGCTATCCTGAATAGAAAACATCACTGCTAGCTGTTTGCTTGAGTGGTATTTCCTCTACCAGAGGGAAGGTGTAGGGTTAAGTTCCAGTTGGGACATTGATGCTCATTACTTATCAAAAGGAGGGGGAAAAGATTGTATAAAAATCCTAAATGTTTTGGTGGCAAAAATCAGATGAACACTTAACTAATATCAAAATATGTGTAGGTTGAAGCTAAATTTATGTTTGGCATAATCATTTTTTGTAGGAGAGATGTTTTTGGTGATATTATAAGGTTCTAGGCGTTTATCTCTCTGTGTCTGGTTGCCCTTACCCATCCGTCTGGTGACCCTTACCTATTTCTTTTCGACCAGCAATTTAAAAGTCGGCCACGATGGGGCATCAAAGTCATTGGTTTCCGAGATTATTTGAGTGGGTCACCATATCTACAATGGTTTGCTACGTATTTTTCTAAAAGTGTTGTGATAGTGATCTTGCCATAGACTAATTTCGGAGAATGATTTTGTTGATCCCCTTAAGCATTGATCTGTCACTTGGGGGTTGAATGGGGTGGGCTGTCATGTCTATGCACACCCTGCTTGTCTAGAATTGTCATTGGCATGTTACATTGTTTCATGTAGATTGTGATAGCTGTGTCTATTTCGGTATTCTGGTAGCTGTGTGTCACTTTATGCATTCTTAACACACACATTGCATACACTTACGTGTCTTAATTTTCACCATGGAGTTAGAAATATATTTGATTACTGTATAATGGAAAACATAGTAGAGGTGATAGTTTTGACAAATCATGGAGATGGGCATATGAGCATGTTCACATCTCTTCTTTTTCCAGTGAGCACATTATCATGTGTCACGGACAGATGAGCTACTGTATGCCCTTTTTTATTCGAACTTGTAAGCATTCTTGGTGGCTGCTGCTGTTGATATAAACTGGTGTTTTTTTTCTTGACTATATATGCTCACAGTGTAAGTTGGTATTTGAATTTTGTTCTTTAACTTCTTTTTGTTCATTTTATGGTTTGGACATGAGTGTAACAAGACAGAGAACTCAGGCGCTTAGGAAGTTTTCAGCATTCAAGCTTCTTGACACGTTCGATCACTGTGACTTGATAGCTTGGATAGTTTGACCCCTGGGTTTGGAGAATAACCTAAAAGTGACTCGAGTTGATTGAGATCCGAGTAATAAGATAATGGGAGTTCTAAGGATGAAATTGTTGCACTCTCATTGGCATATGAAGTCTCAATCCTAATGCCTTTCTAATGTGTAATCTCATGGTTTTCTAGTAATCTTCTCCATGACTTGGTTGTGGTATGGCAGTCATTAAAGTGCAAGTAAGAAGTCTCCTATGTGACTTGATGACAGCACTGAGCCTGGGAAGAATAACTTTTGGAAAGTGTGAACCTCACAATTTAACACATTACTCTTTAGTTATAAGTCTAGGGCAAAGTTGAAAAGTTTAGGGCAGTTAAAAGAAAGAACAAAGTTATAACCTTTAAGTTTATTTGGTCTTGGTAGGCCATAGTGTAGCAGTAAGGTTGTTCTATAATGATTTGGACGTTGCAAGTTCGACTCATAAAAATGTTCTCTCTGTGCACGAAGTTAGATTGCATATATCTAACCCTCTCCCGACCCCACAGCGGCATGTGCCTTTTGCCCTGACTGCCCATTCCTTGTCCAAGTAAAATGCTCATTAATCCACTTAAATGATAAATGAAATTCATAGATTAAACTCAATTATGATTTTTCAAATATTTAGTTAACAGGAATTCTGCATACAGCAATTGCCTTATCCAGCAATTCTTGATAGACTGGTTGTTTCAGACTAAGAGTTGTGTTGCTCTAATTTTTCTAAAAGTAGGGGATTGTTTTGAGGTTTTCACCATATGGACTTTGTTTGAGTATTCTATTGCAGGCTAAGCCCGAAGGAAACCTTTCTGGAGCAAAGCGCAAAGCTGCAACAGCACCAGAAGTGGGTGCTAGTGAACTTCCTTCGGGTGGTGCGTGTAAGAAGAAAGTTAAAGAGGAGTGGAGTTGTGCACTGTGTCAGGTTAGCGCCACGAGTGAGCGAGGTTTGAAAGAACACCTTCAGGGAAAGAAGCACAAGGCCAGGGAGACTGGGTTGCGAGCACAGAGGAATGGCAAGAACTTTTGTATTGGTCTATTCCCAAAGAAAACTAGCAAGCCCACCAAGCTTATGGAAATTACTGGTAATCCAAGTTCAGAACAGGAATGGAAAATCAAAGGGGAAGTGCTACAAGTTAACAAAACAAGGAAGGCATCGTTCCAAAATACTATGGGGTTGGAAAAGAAAAATGATCCACCAATGTTGCTGGTAAATAATGACACAGATGATCCAAAGAAAAAAAATAGGGAGGCAGTTCAGAAAATGCAGAAGATTGGGGATTTTAAGAAGAAGAGATTTAAGTTCTGGTGTGAGATGTGCCAGATAGGGGCCTACTCTATGAAAGTAATGGAGGCTCATAGAAAGGGAAAGAAGCATGTGACCCAGCTTCTGGAAGCTAAAAAAAATGATGGAGCCGATTCAACCACTCAAATAGGGGCACCTACTCAGAAAGGGAATGAGGCAGAGGCTGCTAATGATGGAGAAGAGGAAGTATTGGAAACTGTTGATGTAGCTGTAGGAGTCAAAGGGGAAGATCACCGGGCAGAAGCAGAAGTTTATGGTAATCAAATCGAAAGGACTGATTAATGTGATCCATCCTCATAGCGAATATTTGTTAACCAACAATGTCGAAGAGAGGACTGCCCATGATCTGTTGAAGGTAAAACTTTCACCAGTATGTGCTCCAACATTGATTTATGAGTTGTGTTGTAACTTTCCGTGTAACTTAGTTATTATGTGCCCTATTTATTTAAACTCTAGATTTATATTGAAGTTTCGAGTTTTAACTAAGGGAGATCAGAAACATCTAAATTCCCCAGCGAGGAAATGTAGGTGTTAGGTTGGCTGGCAGCTGGTGTGGGTGTTCGTAGAATAGCAAAAAACTTGTAGATATGGGGAAATTTTCCTGCCAGACTCTCGTTTTTTCATGTTTCGGATCAACCATGCTCTCTGAGCAAGTTGTGCAACTAGCCATGTTCATTTTTATCGGAATTTCTTTGCATTTATTCATGCTTCCTGCAAATGACCTCTTTTAGCAGAATTTTTTTTCCTTTATCCATCTGTCTCATTTCGAGGGAAAGGTGGTGGGGAAGGAAAAGAAAACAACACAAGGATGCAAACTGCACAACCATGCAACCCCAAAAGGCAGGAACAGAGGGAAGCTAAAAAAAGAGGGATGTTTGTTTCTCCACGTCTCATTTCCCCGAGTATTGTAATGAGATGCACAAAGCAGGCATGAAGTTGGAATTTGAGCATTGAATGCAAAATCTTTCTTCATTTATTTTTGGTGAACTATTTTATTTGTCAAGACGTTAACCATCCTTAGGTCTGCTTATTGGCGGATCGGTTTCAATCTTTTTGAAGGAAGGTCTCTTGTCGAGGCACCATCAAAATCGTGTTGGGAGTCTTTGCTCACATCCAAGGTGGTTAGAGCAACTCCAAAGAGGGTGGCAACCCCATATGCCACCCAAATTCAAAATATTGAGCTTAAAGAGGGGTGGCATATGGGATTGAAAAATAGCATCAAGACTCTTGGGGTGATATTTTTGGCAACTTTTGAGAGAGAAATAGAGAGGTTGTTGATTAATATAGATCCGTTAAATGAATATAGATCCAACGATTCATATAGATTGATGAATAAAAATATGAAAATAGAATTCTATTTTGGTACTTGTTATTGGAGCAGATTTATAATTCAGGGGTGCTGTTGAAGATTACAAATGAATAATTTGGTAACTCCATTTGGTGTTGGTCCTAGTTTGGCAGTGGAGTCGATTAACTTGTCTATCGTTGAGGTTGCATGCTTAGACGTCTTTATGGTTTTTAAGATTTATGACTTTTGTACGTACCCACCTACATATAGCAACAGGGGACAATGGAAAGTTAAATTATTGGAAAAATCAGTCTTATTTTATTTTATTTTTTTATAAAAGCACTATTAAGTCTTATCATGTTTATTTTAGGATAATTAAATTATATTTTTGATCATTTATTCCGAAGAAGTTCTGTACACCATCAATAGTATGTTTTATTTCAATTTTATCTTTCCCATCAATATACTAATTACATTTTTACCAATATTTGTTGTTAAGACATAAAGCAAATTTTTTTTCTTTCTAATTAGTGAATAAAACAAGCAATTAACAATAAAGTCATATAAAAATGATAAATTATACTGCACTATTTTTTCTTGTATTTAATTTTTTTAAGCATATAAATTTTAATAAACTTGACTATCAAATTTCAACCATAAAGACATATAATTATATAAATTAACAATGTAAAAATTAATCTATGAATACAATCATTGAGAAGAGGTCATCTAATTAGGTTTTTTTTAACTTCTCCTTCCACATTTTGAATTAATTAGAAAATAATTTTTTTAAGGCGTAAATATCATTTAATATAAAAAAATAAATTTCAATAAATATAAATTAAAAATATAATTATAAACAAAAATATAATTTGTATTTTCATGGGAAGAATACAATTAAAAAAAAACATAATAAACATTAATGAAATTTAGAATTTTTTAAGAATAAATTATTAAAAATAGGACTTAATTGTCCTGAAGTAAAAATAATAGGACTCTTAATGATTCTAAGACTTATTGATTTTTTTTCTCTAAATTGCTTCGGTTGGGGGTGGGTTTGAATATTGACCGAGACCAATTTGAACTTTGACTCCGCAATAATGCATTCTCCTGTTGGTCTCCGTGGGCTAACTTGCTGGTTTGAGTATTTGAACGAGGAACACTACCCTGTTGAGACAAACAAGTGCTGGAAGTTACCATATTTAAAAAAATTAAATTATATTTTTTTAGGGAAATAAATTACAGTTTAAGTTACAACTTTAGAAGTATGTCTGATCAATCACAATTTTTTTTTTTTTTTTTTTGTGATTAACCAACAAAATTATAATATTTATGATCAATCACAATTTATTTATTTATTTTTGTGATTAAGTTATCACTCGTAAAAAAAAGATTATAATTACAATTAATTAAAGTAATTCAAGATCAATCATAATATTTATGGTTCACAATAAATTATTTTAATCAATTATAACTTCACCACTTACTTTAAAAAATAATAACTCATCGATAGGTCAGCACATCAAGCAACCAAACCAAGTCTGGTGTTTGGACAAATGACAATCAACTTCCCAAACAACTATTCCCCGGTTATCTCAAACTTGTAGCCTAATACTTGCCACCTAAAAGAGCTTAGCAGACACATAAAACTCAGATTTTCCTTGTACTATCATCATCCTAACCAGCACCTGTTACTAATAAAGTCCAAATTTTAGTTTTAACAAACGTTTAAGCTAAATCCCACCCATTCATTTCACGTGACTATCTCGAGATCAACGGGCGATCACAAGATTCCAAATTTCTTGCTCATGCCTGCCTGCCTGCCGTCCACCAAGCCCAAGAAACTACAAATCCTAAACAACAAAACGCATCACACTCATCACTCATAGTTTCCAACGTCTCAGACTATATTCTATGTATAAATGTGATTTTACTTTACAAAAGATGATGAAATCATTGATTAAGTAGGAGGGGCTATAGATACATTGAGTAAATGTCACACCATTGTGAAGCAGGCCAAACCTTTTTAGGTCAACTAATGTGCTCTTCATCTTTTAAAGAAATGTTCAAACCCTCAAGGCAACCGGGTCTTGCCATGAAATCTTGCGTTTCCCAACACGGGCTGAACCGTCCCCGATATTCCTACAAACAGATAGCTTCAAATCATTGAGCTGCTCATCAGTTCCGTCTCTCATCAAACCTTTCTTTGCCTCTTCAATCCTCACCGGCTCAAAACTATTCTCATATTCCTCTTCTTCTCCCTGGTTAGACCAAGTGCAAATGCAAAAAACCAATTAGAACAAAGAAACTAATACCATTAAGAATTCATAATTAAATGTTGCTAGTTGAATGTCCAAGTGTTATACCGAAATCTGGTTCAAGTCAAAAATTGGAGCTCTCTGCGAACTAGATTCTTTGGCACTGAGACTGTTTTCCTTCCGATTTAAATCAAAGGGTGGAGCTGGATTTCGCGGAACAGCATCATTTCCACTATATATTCTTTCCTTCTGCTTCAAATCAATGGCTGGCATTGATGTTGGAAAGATAGCTTCCTTTGCTCTATATATCCTTTTCCTGCGGTTAGAATCTGAAGATGGCATTACATTATGGAGAGCTACCTCCTTTCGACCTTTTAATGTTTGCTTATGTTGTTTCAACTCAAAATTTGGAGTTGCATTTCGAAGAGTAGTTTCCTTCCCACCTTGTAGGGTTCTCTTTTGATTTGCTTCAAAACTTGTAGCAGTATTCTGGGGGCTGACTAGCTTTCCAGTATACATTCTTCCCTTTTTGTTGGGATCAAAAATCGGTGGCAACTTCTGCAGTGCAGCCTCCTTTTTGCTGTAAATCCCAATCATCATACTGTTTTTGCGATGGATTTCTGATTTTTGTTGTTGCACAACTTGTCGTTCTAGCAAGGGATTTGGAGATTTATTCTCCAATAGGTACTTGTATCTTCGGCGCAAGAATCTGTTGTTGATCAGAAACGAAAATAAGAATGGAAACTCAATGCAAAAACATAAGACTATCCCCCAAACATTTGGAGAATAATATACAACAAAATTGGCAAATTGCCAATGCGAGATTCATCAACATATGAAGCAAAGATCAAAGCCAAAATTTCTAGAGTAATTTTTTTCTTATACAGGATTCAATTGAAAGAACAAATGAGTACACCAAAGTAATGAATTAAGAGAGTATAACAAAACATATTTGAGTTTTGAGTTATTGATTGGGCAGACACATGAACAAATAAACAAAGAAACATGAATATAAAGCCATATATTGGTTATCAAAATGCGATATATGCACATACTCTAAATTCAAGTTGTAATATATTACCTAACTTCAGCCAATAAGGTTAGTTTCCTGTGTTTCATCGTCTCCAATTTGTCTCTCATGGCCTCCGACTCCTAAAAAAGTCATGAGGATTGAAATTTCTTAAAAAAAAGACCAAAAAAGCCAAAAACAGAGCACATGTATGATGAATAAGAAGAAAGAAAGAGAGCTGGGAAAAAAAAAATTATAAATCCCCTTAAAACCACCCTCCCACCCCCAACCAAAAAAAAAGAAAAATTAAAAAAAAGACCAGATCCTTGATAAAATCATGTAAAAAGAGCAATAAGAAATGACAATAACTTGAAATTATGTAATAGGAAGAATTAGAAAACAATAAGAAAGCCACAAAATAAAAAATAAATGAAACAAGGACAAGAGAGATTATTCAGGAAATCAAAGGGGAAAATATTTTATTTCAAGAGGTTTAGCAGGATGTATTAAAAAAAACTTCCTAAAAAGAGAATAATATGAGTATTGAACCCACAAAAGTTATAAAAAAGGGCAGCCAAAAGGGTAATCTTTCCAGTACACTCACATGAAGGCAAATTAAAGAGCTGTGGATCTAAAGCAATAGCAAAGAACACAAGAAAATAGATCAAAGATCAGCAAAAATTTCTAACAAACAGAACCACAAGAGAAACATCTATCAAGAAACCCACAAGAAAAACAGACAACAAGAAACTTAGACATCAAGAATATAAGAAAACAGATCAAATACATCAAATATATTAACCCACAAGAATAGCCAACAGTACTAGTCAAAATAGTAGATCATAGCCAAGGAAATCAGACAACCATAGGAAAAACCCAGAAATATATCTCAAAGAACCATCAGATCTGGAACATAAGGATGAGCAAATCCACAAAGAGAATTACCTTATGCAGTTCTTGGTAGTCTTGCATAAGAGTTTGATGCTTGATCCTGGTTTTAGCATCATCATCTGCCCCATAAGATGATGAATCCAAGGCGAACCCTTTCATCTTCTTAGACATCAGATCACAACAAACGGAGAAAACCCACCACACAAAAATGAATGATCTTGAAGATTATCAAGAGATAAATATGAAGTATAGAAAGAGAAACAACATATATGGTGAGAGAGAAAAAGAAGGGGTAGGCAAGAAATACTAAAGAAAGAAAGGGTAGATAGATAGAAAAGAGAGAGAGAGAGAGAGAGAGAGAGAGAGAGAGGTGAGAAGGTTCTCGCTTTCTTGTTTTCCCTGTGAAACTCTGACCAAAGACAAAGCCCAAAAAGCCCACATAAATCGGGTAAAAAACATTGTTCTTTTGAGACAGTGTGAAGTGATGAAGATGGGGATTTTTTGGGGGGTTGCAGAAGGGTATTTGTGGCAACATGGTTGTTGGTTGTGTATGTGTGTTTCTGAGGTGGGTTTGTTTGGAGGACATTTGAAGACACCTCCTCTTTCTTTTCTTCTCTCTTCTCCCTGTCTCTCTCTATCTTTCCTTTCTTTTTTGTTTTTCTTCTACATAAATTTTGGTCCAGCTGGGCCATTAGAGAGAGAGAGAGACATGGGTGGACTCTTCTTTGTTTTTGATGGGAGGGTGCGTGGAACTTCTACGTTTCTTCTCTCTTCTTTCTTTCTTTGTGGGTTTTTGCCTCTGCTAAGAATAGGAATAGGATATAGACATATGAGAGAGTTTTAGAAAGAGAAAGGGTGGGGAAGGTGCTGAAAAAGCAGTAGTAGGAGAGATAAATGGGGATGCTGTATTCTGATGTGTTGCAGTTGTTGGTACTTGGGTAGTGCCTCTTGTTTTTAGGCTTTGGGTTTTTTTTTTTTTTTTATGGCTGTTCTGATTGGCAATTTGCCCAGCCTTCCAATTAAAATACAATTCTTATGTGTCAAATTACTTTTTTACCCTTCTTGTTCACTTCCCTGTTTAAGGATATCAATCTTTTTTTTTTGTGATTCCCTCCGAACCATGAATTGCCATTTAGTCTGCAATTGGTGTCCGTGATGGTGAATGGATACTTATCCATTTTCTGAGGATGAGTTGGTCATTTTACAATCGTATCTCCTTTTGAACGTGAAGATCCATTTCACACCAAACTTCTGGAATTGAATGACACCATCCCCCACCTGCCTTACACCCTACCACCTACATTTGCTTGACAAATCTTCATAGGCTGAAATATGGATGGAAAAGGAGGTTGAAAGAAAAAAAATCCAAATAACCATTGTTGATTACTCTTTTATTGAGAAAAAAAAAGAAGGAATTTTTCGATACCAAAATCAGATCCCATAGTTGAGACTATTTGCACAGTTCAAATGCCCAACCAAGCAATATGGTAGAAACTCTAAAAATTTCTGGCCATAGACGGTATACAGAGGTTCAGAGCTTTGGGTATGTAGACAGAAGCCATATGGGGCATGTGGTGAAGCTGAGAAGATAAAGAGGAAGAGGTGTTGGGTTTCTTGAAGTTTGGTTTCCATTCCGTAAAAATTTTGTGGGTCAAAAGTCCTTGTGACTTCCGCAATGCCATAATTTTTGTGGAGAGAGAGAGAGAGAGAGCTCAAGGGGGGGGGGGGGGGGGGGTCACCTTCTCTTGCCTTTTTCCTTGTCTTTTCCAATACCCCCATTAATTAACTGTTTACCCAGAGGTGGTATGTGACATGGACATGTGAGAAAGAAATAAAAAGAGGATACAGAGACCCAAAAATTGTGTTGGATGATGCAGAAAACCAAAAGAAGAAGCAATTTGGAAGAGGAAATTGTTAGGAGAAGCCTTCACATAGGGATGGATGACCACAGCCTTAAGTTTTGGGACCAACCAAGCAAAAAGCCCCTGTTGAAACCCTAGAATGAACTGGATTGGATGAACAAGTCAACTTTTTTGAATATTATTTTATTATTATTTGATGCACAACTTGACATGCTAGAACAAAGAGTAATTAATCTTTGCTTTATCTCTGTCTCATCTTTTGCTTCTGGGTACCCAGAACTTACAAGAATTAATTCTTCTTCTACAACCTTTTTGCAATTTTTTATATAAAAAATGTTATAATTATAAGTTTACTTATCATTGTCAAGCTATTATTCTTTCAATAAAAGTGGGCTACACTTTTAGCACACTTTCATGAATAGAGGGTATTTAAACTTTTGATTGGTAGTAATTTTTTACGCTACTCGGTCCTATTTTATCCTATTAAACGATTAGTCGCAAAAATTATGTAAGAACGTAGAATATTCACCAATTTTCGCAATCCTATCCTACCTTACCTGCAAAAAATATATTTAATTTTTTAATATATTTTTTTAGTAATTATAAGAGTATTTGTGTGATATTATTTATATTATATTATTGTTATTATCGTGGATGTTTGAGTTGAAAAAATATGAACTTGTTTTTTGTGTAGGTTACATGATTTGTAGCAAACTGGTAATTTATTGAAATAATTATGATTTTAATATATTTCATATAGTTTAAACTTAAAATAATTATTATTGTATTTGTGTAACAATTATGATGGATTGATGTTCATGTTTTCTTATGTTTTATTGTAATTGTTGTTATAGTTATTTTAGATTTTAGTGTTATTGATTTATTGTGTTGTTAAATTGATGTATGTTATTTAATTGAATTATTAAAATGATCCAAAAATTAATAGTTACAAAAGTATTTATTCAACTTCATATCCAATTAATCGAGTAGGAATACCACGCTTGATCGGGTAAGGTAGATCAAGAAAAAATTATTTGGCAAAATATCGGATAGGAAGACGAAAAACTATATTTCTTATCCATAGGGTAGGGTGAACACCCCTACAGGAGCCATATGTTTTCTGTTTATTGATTTTTTTGTAAATTTTAAATTCTTGTTTGCAAATTTGGGACTTATTTTTAAAATAAATTAGATAGAATAAAAAAAAAGAAAACACCATTATTTTTTTTACAAAAATTGAAAATACAAAACGAAAATGGTTATCAAATCGAGCCTTTGCAAATAGGTTTGAAAAATTAGAAACTTTAAAAACTCTAAAAAACTGCCAAAAAGAAAAAGAAGTAGCTGAAAAAGTGTAATTTAGCCTAACTTAAAAATTTTAATTAACATATTCATTATCTTTTGAGTAATATTATGCTAATCTAATTCATTTTTAATATTAAATTATTTGTGAATTCTAAATAATAAATAAAATTATTATTGAGTAGCTCCACAAACTAAATACCAAAAACATTTTCCTTATCTTTTTCTTTCAGCCCAAACCAAATATATATCTCTCTCTCGCTCTCTCTCCTCTTCAAACTTTTGGTGTAACCATGGAGTCCACGACTGCAGTCACAGCTCAAAGTTCGAACTTGCGTAGTCCCATATGACTGGAAAAAGCCTAAGCTGTCCCTCAGGCTCATTCTGTAACTCTCTGCTCTCTCTCACTCTCTCTCACACACACTCACACACGCACACAAAGGCATTGGTATATGCGTATGTGCGCTTACATAAAACTCAGCACAATAATCTACTTCAGTGCGAAACGTGTACAATACAAAGATTGGAACTTTGGTGGGTTTTATTTAGAAAACTTCGATTGAATGCTAATTCTGCATTTTCACAGTACTTGATGTGAATGTACTTGACTTGTTTGTGATTAGCCAGCTGACTTAAAATTGGTTTAATTTATGCTTCTTTTCATGGGCTATAATGTTAATATCAAGATTGCTCTTGTGTAAAGCTTCAGATGCTCGAGAGAATTATTTGAGATTGTAGTTAGCACTCCATGTATTTTCGATTGCTGATCTGAAAAGTTTGGCCTTTGTATGATTCAGGCCATGAAAGAAAGAATGAGTTATCCCCCCCGTTAAAAAGATATGCGATATCCCGTATATCACGGTAGAAGATTCTAAGCATGCCAATCACTGATTATGGTCGAAAGACTTTGATGAAGAAGATAGCCCTATAAATATAGGTGATCCTACTTGATCAAACAAACACAAACCCACATTGTAATTCACGATATCAATAAGAGGGGAAGCCCTTCGGAGCATTGTTTATTGTGGATATAGGCCGGAACAAACGAACCACGTAATTTGTGTGTTACTCCTATTATGCCATTTCATATCTTTCTTATCTCTCCCCATCCAAAATTTACCACCCCCGAGAGCTTAGGAAAGCCACCAAGCCTCGGCAAGGGCTAAAATAATGATATTTCCCACTTATAGGGCCAACCACCATAGAGCTTCAGTTTTGTGACTTGGTAGACAAAAAGCTTGCATTTGTAAAATAACCTCAATGCTGTGATCTTGCCAATTTTTGTTTATGATTTGGCAGCTGTGATCTTTGTCACTGCCCCAAATAGAAATCCTGATTTTTATGTTGCACATGTTGTCTACTTTGTTCAATGACATTGCTTACTGCAGAACAAACAAGCCTAGTAGAAGAGAAGGGATTCTTGGAAGTTGCTGTATTTTGAAGGTACGAACGTGGGAATAAGAATTTATGGTAGTTCTACGCTTTGAAATGGCATAGGTAATTATAAGATTGCCAATTAACTTGTGTTAATTTCCTCCTCGGCAGGCAGCGTGTGAACTAACAGCACTCTGTCTCAAAAAACAATCTGAAAAGAGAAATGTTGACAATTGAAAATTACAGCAAATGTGTGCTCATGACTATTAAAAGATTATGCTCATTTTCATTGAGAGTTAAAAGATGGAGTTACAATGCTTGCGCATTCGTTCTTGAGAAATCAATTCTTAACGAAAATGATATACATCATCGTAGGAATCTATCATTTTTCTGTGTTCCATGAGAATTATTGTAATCTCAATAGCAATTGAAACAAATTATTCCTATACTGATCACTTCTCCTACAATTTTAGGGGATCAAACTGCTCAAAGCTACATGCTGGATTTCCTTGCTACTTGTAAGGGACTTATCAAGATTTTGGTAATTCTTTTCCAGCCAAGAACGATTGGAAAAGAATAAAAGCTCTCTTTGGCTGAAATAGAGGAACTTCATGACCAGCTCCTCTGATTGTGGCAAAGGTTAGTCCATCGTAGATCTCTGTCCAGCCTCCTACCTATAGAAGAAATCCAACTTAAAAAATTGCATCACAAAATTTTCTGGTAAGTAATTTCATTATTGTCTTGCTATGAAGTTTGTTATACCTGGTCGCCTGAGTACCATGGATACCATCGAGTTTTAATAGTGAGATTGAGATGACTAAGGGAGAACCTAGTCGCGGTCACTGGAACCACTGAATCTGTATCTCCGCTGCATTAAGATTCAAACAATTGCATTAAGCACTGACCCTTGTGGTTTTGGCGGTATGGTCACAGAGGGATTTGGTTCCACTCCAGTATTATATATCCTCAATGCTAGCTTATTCACCAAATATCAGTGGAGGGACCCATTTTAATATAATGGACCTAAGTGGGACAAGTATGACCTAGTGTTAGGGTTTGACTCCCCCCTTTTGTGTTGAACTAGGACCCTTTTAGGCACAGATAAGAACACACACACAAACAAGCAATTTGTTCTATGATTCAGAATGTTGAGAAAAATGTTGGCTTGTTGGACTGTGTACTATGCTACCCACATTAATCTGGGCCAGAATCATACCTGAACACCCATATTCTTAGACTGGCTGCAATCAGCTTCTTGTACGTGGGTAACATTGAAAAATCGGAATCATTCCAGTTCTTTATAAGTATATCACTGCCAGTCAAAAATTACCATCAACTATTAATTGAAGATGATGAAATGATGGTGTTCTTATTCAGAAAAAGGCAGTATGGTTCATATATGTAGCAATACGAGAACAAATTATGAACCTGCAAGCCGTCCATTTATATGGAATCCCAGTAGAATTTGCATGCAACGCTTTCTGCACGTCTGGTCGATTATAGTACCTCTCTGCATAATTCTCAGTACAGGGATCATATCCAGAAATTCTTCGACGTATAAGAGTGTTTTTGAGCCTTAGAGATCGTATACTGTTACTAGTTAGTGCCTTACAAGATGGTGTATAAATGCTATATTGATCAATATCTCCAAATTCATGGTTCATGGCATAACTCAGAGCATCATCACACTGCTGAGAAGATTTGTCCGAAGAGAAATTGCATGATTTGAGGATTGATTTATAAGTTGTATCTGATATCATTGAATGGCTCCACCAATAAGTTACTGTGCCAATGTTATCATAATGATTATCTGTCACTGCATTTCCTAGCTGCACACATATACATGAATTATCAACTCTTTCATGTTCATTGAAATTTCCAAATAATATTATATCTTACGATGAATCCTTTCAGATTGATATTCGGATGGGAAGATGCTTTGTTGTAATCAAGGATTTTCTTTGCCAGCTGGGGAACGTAATGCCCTATACATTAAGCAGCAAATCTTGTAAGTTCTTTGCAGCAGTCAACTGAAAATTCCAAAGAAAACAGGAAGAAAAAAAGACTTGAAAATTGCAAGTGATTATTTGTCATTCCTATACCTGCATAACTCTCCCCAGATATGTAGAAATCTCTAAATCTGTATTGTGGAAATCTTGACATCCATTTTATAAGAAAAACTAGAGCATCCTGAGCTGTGTTAGAAAATGCACAACAATTAAGGATTATAGAGCTACCAGCAGCAGCAAAACAACACCAATAGTAGTAGCAGTACATGGTGCATATTACATAGGAAATAAACCAGTGAATCTAACCTGTCCTTTTGTCCCCGGAATCCTTGAGATCAGAACTTGTGTTTGTGTATGAGAAACCTACACCAGCCGGTGATTCAAGAAAGAGAATGTTTGCCTCTGCAGCATGAAATTGGCAAAGAAATTTTTTAGTGGATTTTTTGAATGAAATCCTTTTTGACTATGTCCTTAGAGCAACTAATCATTGGCCTAGAGGAACTAGTGAATGAAATCTGTTGGTCATATTGACAGTATCAGCTATGTCTTAACAAAGTGTAAACACACTTTTGAAAAATTGTCTAGGATTTCCTGGTTGATGCACTAGTGGGGGACAAATGAGTTTATTAACATCTTGATGCATTTTTACTTAAAACTCATTTATATAATTGTTTATGTGATTGTTTACCTCGATTCCATGAATACTTGTTTAGGTAGAGAGATGAACTAGTTCTGTTTATCCGAAATGGCCCGATTTCTTCTGATGCTCCATATGCCACTGATGAACAACCTGGTCCTGCAGTCCAGTTTTTCAGCAGGCTTCATGGTATTAGTAATTTTTTTATATTAATAAATTAGAAAATACAAATTAGAGTGCTTTAGCTAATAGTTATAGTGAAGAAAGGCAAACATAAGTAAAGTCGAATTTCCGAAGTTCCTATTTTTGAGTACATTTGCCAAAAATTAATTTATGCAGTATTTTTCAAAGATTCTTGTAGTCACTTTCTCAAAGTTCCTGTGTCTCCACAACAATTGAGCCAATTTCTTCCTCATCATATAGAGATCAAGTGGAAGCAAGAAGAAACAAGAAAATGAGAAGGACAATGAGATTGCTCCTTGTAACTCTTTACTTATCAACTTTTATCAAATATCTTACTTATATAAAACTAAATTTTAAAATTGTCATTTGCCATTGATCAGTTTTTATTCTGAAGTTTAATATTTTGGATACTTTTTTGCAATAGAACTCGATTTTATAGAAGAATAGTATTAACCATTATTTACTAGTCACTATGTCATCCTACTAAAAAACTGTTTTAGATCGACTCTTTTCCGTTCATTCTTGATTAAATTCTTCTTTTGGAAGACAAAGTAAGTTATTGGAAATTGAGGTGAGAGGGTGGCCCGGTGGGAAAGTCTCACTCCCACCTGCACATAGTTACAAGTTTTAACCTCATCCCCTTCCCCCCAAGAAAAAAGTTATCAGAAATCAGCGTCTTCAAAATGAGAAAAAATTGTCTATTAGTTACTCAATTTGAACTCTGCTATATTAACAGAAGTCGAGTGCATACAGAATACCATTAATAACTTTGCTAGTCTCACATTCAATGGCATATCTCAATAATCTGCAAAAACTCACCAACCCATCCATTATAATCATTTATTTGCTGTATTTTCCTCTGAGGGGTCAGCTTCAATTATTAATGCACTAGATAACAACCACAACTATAAATTGTCAGAAACTCTATTAGCCTTTTGTTGTAGTATATTTATTTAATCATTCAAATTCAACAAGTTAAGGTACATTTTTTTTTTCTATTTTAATTCATTTTTTACATTGTGCCATGATTTTTAACTTATCTTTTGATTTGTCAAAATTATTTGCACAAAATCGTGTTTTGAACCTACACTTTTCGATGGTTTTGATAGAAAATTTTAAAAACAATTTTTGCAATTACTTTTCTTTTTTCTTTTTTTTTACATTGAACAGTGAGGTTCAAATCGCGCTGAATGTGAATAATGATAACTTAAAAATAAATCAAAAATTACGATTAATGACAATAAAAGAAATAAAAAAAACAACAGAACAATAATTTGCTATGCTAAAAAAACTCATGGTATATATATTATTATAATTCTTAGGACTGTAAGATATATATTTTCGGAGTTTTTATTTATTGGTCAGACAAAACTCTAGACACCTTCCACACACCATCATCATCATCATCATCTCTTCTAATGCTCTGAACACGCGTGCTTCAGAGTGTTCACAGTGTAGCGTATAACAAGCTCCTTTGCACCTTTTAACACACAGTCAACTTATTTGAGAGAGAGAGAGAGAGAGAGAGAGAGAGAGCATCTTTTGTTGCCAGATATGAAAAGTGTAGGACCAGTTAGGTGGGACAGGTAATTCACTTGGAGGGTTCTATTGGATATCAATGATAACCAGAAGAATGGAGACTAAAAACAACAGGCTACAGAGACCAGTTTTTTGAGCTTTTTGGGTGGGTTCTTCCAAACAGTAAACAAGTTGAAAAACAGAAGGAATGGAGCCACGAAAAAAGATTAGACAGAGAGGTCATGATTGCCTAAGGGGGTTTTCGGTACTGAACAGTTTGAAGAATATACACAAATATATTTCAGAACTTAATCCATCGTCACAATTGAATTATTGTTGAAGTTTATTTAATGTCGGGACTCACTTTTTTTTTTTTTTATCAAAGTCGGGACTCACTTCAAATATAATGGTTACAGTACAATAATTTTTTAAATTAAAAATTCAAATTTTGCTAACATGCGCCGTTGGGTTGTGGGAGTATTTGAGGGCTATCGGAGTATCATTTGCCCATCATTTTGGAATCAATGCCATTGACCAAATACAAAAATCAATCAAATCAAAAACTGCAATTTACATGGAAACTAATTTATGAGTTTATTACTTAATTTTGTGCATTGACCTAACTATTTGGGTACATAATTTTCAGATTTATGTTTAATTTGGTACGAGAAAAAAATAGAATAATAAAAATTTTGAAAAATGGATAATAAGTCATTTTTTATAAGAAAAGAAGATAAGAAGAAGAAAAAAAATCCTCTAAACTTTCCTTCCCTCCCTATTTTCCCTCCAAACCAAATGATGGAAAATTTTCCTTTTCATCCCATTTTCCTTTCAACCTATTTCCGCCCAACCAAACATTGTGTCAGATTCATCATCAATTATGTTTCTTTTATTTTCTTTATTGCTTGCATTTTAATTCCTATTAAATGGTTTCTTGATCAAATTTTTGGGAAGAGAAATTGAACTTATATCAGCAGGCTGTAATTTCATTTTACTACGTTGTTTACACTTAACATTGTCAATCTAACAATCTTTCGCAGAGTTTGAGAAGAAAAACTTGGAGTGCCCGTGTAATATTGAGAGAGAGAGAGTGCTTTGAGTAAGGGAAGTGTAGCAGTACTAGAGGGAAGCTGCATAGAAACTAACCTCCATTGAGCCAAAGGACGAGAGGCTTCTTGTCAGGATTAGTGGTAGCCTCTGTTAACCAGTAAAAGAGAGCTCGGCCGTGTTGCTCGTTAACGGTCACGTAGCCGGAAAACTGCGAAAATGTCACCGGAGGTTGTCCCGGAAGTGCAGAAATTCGGTCCATTTCTTGTTGTTTGGTTAGAGCAACTGCAAGAATGGTGGTGAGTGAAGACAAGACTAGGAACAAGAATATTGGTGCAGTCCTTTGGGCTGCCATTGTACCCTGCATAAGTGTGCTCTCTCTCTCTCACTACACTACATTCTTCTAATGGAGAAAATACAAAGTGGTATTTGAAGATATTGAAACACCAATAATGGGTCTGTACCTTGTGGGGGTGCCTTCAAGTTTAGTGCTTCTACATTAATACTTCACTCTTGCCGGCAGTTCAGTTATATGTGGACCTCTCTCTCTCTCCCTCTCTCCCTCTCCCCTTCTTATTGCGGGGGGACTCACGTGTGTGTGTGTGTGTGTATGTGAGTGAGAGAGATAGATGAATGAGCTGGCGTTGCAAGTCAATTTGAACCTAATCAGAACTTGGTTAAGAACCCATATGCAGAGTGATAAATGCATCACAAATCTCTCTCTCTCTCTCTGGGGCTTGTGGTCCTGTGTACGCAGTGGGGGTGCGGGAAGGCAAGGCTAAGGGCGAAGAATTAGCTGTCAAGCCGCACCACACCCCCAGACCCATAGGGTATATTCTTTCTGAAAATAAATCCTTATTATATCTTCCTCTATTGGGTAAAATTATATTTTGTTGGTACATTTTAATATTATATAAAATTTATTATACTAATATATAATTGACATATAAAAATCTTTATATGTAATGTATTGTACATATATATGTATCATATTATTACATATATGTTTAAATGCATACATGTACATGAATATTATCTAATACGTGAATTATTTTAATTAGATACATATATATTAACTATACATAAATAAGTTGTATACATAAACTCTAGGGGCCGTTTGTTTTGAGTATTAGAGTGTTGTAAGGAGGTGGTATTAGGAAAATAGTATGTGGGATCCATCTTATACGTTGTTTGTTTAACATTTTATAGTCAGTATTATTTTCCGGGTTGTAATACCGACCTGCTATGAACAATAGCCATAATATCTTGTAGAAGGTCTTAATGAATACCACCTAAGGGATGGTATTATATTCTTGGTATAGGTATTATAAACTAAAAAGATCGAAATGCCTTCCGGTACAATTCCCATATAAAAGCCTAGCTGCATTTTTTGACTTTTTAAAAGTTAAAATTGTCTTTTACGTTGGTTAACCGCAATTGTTGATTTTTTTAAGTAGGTATTATATAGATAATATTTGTGATAAACAAATAAGGAAAAGAATGAGATTATAGTTTAACACCGGGTATAATATACTATTGAATTAGAGTGGAATGAATATAAAACCTTATATCATCTAAATTTTATATTCAAAACAAACATGTCCTAGAAGGCCCTAATAGCCTATAAATAGGATCTCTGTGAGGTTTTTCAAAAACAATTATCCAACACTTAAATAATACTTATTTCACGCACTTTAGAGTTGAAGCCAGAGAAAGATGTTCTCATTTGTGGAGTTTTAAACTTAATCATTTCTACAGAATTGATTAGAGTCATACAACGAAATTGTCGGACTGTTATATCATAAAGGAAACAAGTCGTACAAGAAAGTTTGTTGCACCGATTTTGCATTTTACCATCTGTAGAGGATTTGAATCTCCTTAAATGAAGCAAGATGCATGTGCCTCAGCATGAATTATTTTGTATAAAAAAATAATTATTTTGTTACTTTTTAATTAATAGTTGCAAATTATTTAGATCAAAATCATTAGCAGCAAATCAAATTGGGTACCAAACCTTATTAGTGGTATGGTAGACTCATCCATATATATGAAAAAGAATATATACATGCCATTACATTGCATGCACTTGGTCATAGCTTGAGTTACACGGTTGTTCAACTCAAAGACTTAGCAGATCTACAATGAACCAGTTGAGGTGCAGGCGAGTTAATATAAAAAACAGAAGTTAGCTACACTACACAATTCTTCTTACTTATTTAATTATTTGGGGATATGAGTTAAAAGGGGTTGGTCAACCTTTTCTTATTATTGGTAGCCTTTTAAGTGTTAGTAGACGTACATCAGTCCTTTTTCACCCCGTCAATTGAAGTGGGAACAACTTTGTTCACCAAAAACCATCTTAAATTCGACTAAAAGTTCTGGATTAAAATCAATTTGGCCTAAATGAATTTCAATCTTTTTTAGTTGCCCACTTGAAAAATTAGAAGTTTGAAGTTTTTAAAATGTTGGGTTTGTTTAGAGTTGACTTTTTTTAGTGTCAAATAAAAATTTGAAAAGTGAAATGAAAAAATTAAAGTTAAAAAAACTCTTGAAATCGTTTGGAATGTTTTGGGGAAAAAACAGTTTTTCCTTTGAAATCCTTGGATAAATTCTATTTTTCAGCTTTAGTGTTGATAAAAGTTATTTTTGCCCAAAAAATTGATAAAAAAGCCACCCAATAAAACCGGGTCCAAACAGACTAGACTTCTTTTTCTCTGAAATAAAAAAAAATTAAAGTTTTAAGTCAACTTCAAACAAGTCTAATGTATCAAAACAGCTAGATATCGATTTGTTTTTCATTAGTGAATTTATCATAATGTCACTTTATATTATTTATTGGTTTCACTTTTGTCCCATGAACAATTTTATTATCTCAAATCACCTGCATTGTAAAGAATTCAGGATGCAATAGAAATAGCGAGTCTCACTTATATATTAATGTTAAGTGATTTACTATTGAATAAAAATGAAAAAAAACTATAATAGAGGGTATTTTAATCTCTAATATATCATTTCACGGGCATACTTAGTTTAGTAGTCAAATAACGAGTGCGACATAAGGTCAAATGTCCCTGTCCAAAGAAAACTCTAATTTAACTAATGCGTAAAGTTTACAAGGAATTATAGGTTTCAATTATGAATATAAAAGACCACTGATTATACATATTATTCCTTTCCCTGAAGAAAAATTAAACAAATTAGATGAGATCTACCCATGATTTCCTAGATATTGATCCCATTCAAACACGGTTATTCAATGGTTTCGATATTGTACCATGTGCATCCAAGCATCCATAACTCTCTCTCTCTCTGCCGACTGGCATGGCAGAGAAGTATCATCTCTATTGCTTCTAATTGCAGGAACTACATTGCCATGGAAGCTTCTCCTTCTCCTTTTGTATTATAAACACAATGAAAGATGTTTCTTCATCACCAATGGTGTCATTGAATGTTCATGCTACTAGGGTACGAGTTCAAATTTTAGAAAGTTTATTTAGGATGCATAGTTTGAATCAATTGAAATTTAACTGGTGTATAAGTTGAGAGACGGTTTATATACTCGAGGGTTTACTTTCGGTTCTATGCGGACTCACAATCTTGAGCGATATAAGCATGATCCTCTAATCATCGGAGTCAGGCTAAAGATTTTTCCTGTTACCCAAAACAAAAAAAATTAAACCCTTTCCTCGAGAATTTAAAAGGAAAATGTCACACAAATACACAATCTTGATATTTTTTGTACCAAGTGAAATGATATTTGGCTTGTACTTGACTAATTGTGTACCATGTTAATTTAACAAAAAAGACGTACTGCTTTCAGTTAGATTTAGATCCACGTCAATATATTTTTTCTTTAATCATTAATAATTGAGAAAATTCACTTATATACAATGAATCTCACTTAAATATATGATGGATAACATATCAAAAAATTTTTTAAAAAAAAGTATAATAGAGAGAATCTCGCTCTCTTTATCTTACCCCTACGCATAATGCTTGGGTTGCATTGGAGAACAGTGAAGTTGTGAGTAATCATATCAAAACCTATCTGTGTGGCATGTGAGCATTGGATGATCATCACAACAATTTAATTTCATATGACGGGCATGATGACTTAATTGATCCAAACATTTAAGTTCCAACGGCTACGGCACAGAACGACTTTGACCACCTCACACCTTGGCTTTTTGAACCCTAATAATACTACTTGCCTCTTTCTTTTTTTTTCCCTTCTGTCCCCTAGTCAACAGAAGTAGATGAGGCAATGTCATGTCTTCAATGTGCGCAGTTGGACACTTGCCAAGTTTCAATTAGGATTACAAATGATTGATGTTGTCTTTGTCTCGTGTCTATTTAACTCGTATTTAATTTATTTATAATTATATAATCGAGTTGGTATATATTATACAGATTTTGTGTTGGGTACAATTTCTATTTAACGATTTTGTGTTGAGTTATTCATTTTTTTTTGTCTATCTATTGATTTAACGGGTCTAAAAGAGATACTCATTTATTAATTGAATCCTTGAAGTCTAAACTCCAATATTTTAATTTTATTTTCGTATCGAATTTGTAAATTGTGTCTAGAATTTATGGGTTTAGTTTTAATATCTTATTAGCAATGTATGCCCCTATATATGGGGATTTAAATTTATATCTTAGATGAATTTAAAAAGATTGTCATAGTCACAACACCAAAAAAAAAAAAAGAAGAAGAAGAAAGTATCCTAAATACCAACCTAATTCATCATGTGATGTTCTTTAGGATCTAGTAGATGAAGGTTCTGTCCTATATCAACCACAAAAGTCCAATCATCCAAAAAAATATATAATATACTACTTCGAAGTGGGTAGGTTTTTTAATCCAATTACAAGAAAAACTATCAAAACCAACTCAATTATAGATATAATGTGGGACTCAAGATTTTCGAGTTCAAGGTTCATATCTAGAATTTTTGGACTTAGCTTTAACGTCCTATTAGCCATGTATGCCCTTATAAATATGGGATTTTTCTCTAATAATGTTATTTTAACTTAATTTGATAATTCTATCAAAGATATTAATTATAAATACATGTACAATATTCGATTACTTCAAAATATAAAAGCATGTTTCAAGCTTGTCCATTCAATTTCAACTCAATTTCAGAGAAACTTGAGTGTAGTTATTTAAGAAGATTTGATAGAATTTAGTTTCGGAGTGTCTATATGTCTGATTTATAAATTAAAAAAGATTGTTTTATTACAACACATAAAACTCAAATGTGTGTGTGTGTGTTTTATCCTAAATATCAACTTAACTAATTCATCCTGTCATGTTCTTTATAGAATCTAGTAGATGAAGGATCTGTCCTC